TGGGTCTGAGAACATTTAGAAAAGTTCTTGGTATATAGTAATCACCCTATAAGAGCAACCTGGCGTATTAGTTATGCCTATCAGATAATGGTCCCCTTCCCCCACACCAAGTAAAAATTACGTAGTTTCAGAAATAACCATTCTGGTACTGATCATTTACTATCTCAAAGGAAAAATGATCACGATAGTCTCGTTTTTGAAACCCAGCAGAAGTTGCCACTTTGGTAGTCCAACACCTTATTGCCGTAGGCACAGAAGCCTCCCTGGGACGTGAAGAAAGACTAAACAAGTTCTAATTAGGAATTCATGCCAAAGGGAGGTGTGTGATTCTGCTTATTTTTCTGTGTCTTTGAGATCTCCGATCCTGCACAAAGAGAACTGACACTTATAATGAGCCTTGGGCGTTGCAATATCCCTAAGCATCAAATAAAAATTCAATTATGAGCTAGCACGAGAATCAAAACTGACACATTAAAGAGAGATTTAAAAATAAAACTAAAATTTAAAGGAGTTTTCAGTGAATCTTTAGCTAACCAGAAAAATCAAAAAGTATTCATCACCTCAAACATTTTGCTTTGCTGAGAAACTTTTCATACACTAGAACTTCAGGAAGTTCCTGTTTTTCCTCCAGGGCCCTGTAACACTTCTTTGTAAAACTTTTAAACACCATTCTGCTCTAATGGAAATCATCTAAATGATTTCTATTTAAAAAGCTATTACACAAAGGAGAAATCTGGACTAAACATTCAACCTCAACCTGCTTGGGAGGGCCAGTTTCCTGCCAATGGCTTTGACTGGTATGGATCCCAAGAATCAAAATGCCTTTGAAGTATGATGGAGTAAATTTATAATTTTTAAAGCAATTAAAAAAAAGATCTCTGGGGAGGGAGTAGAGGCCAGATGGCAGCAGTGCCAGGACACTCTAGTGCAAGTGTCATCAAACTACAGCCCGCGGGCCACAAGCAGCCCACCTAGGACATTTATCCTGCACACCGGGTGTTTTTGCCACCGCTGCCTGTCCTGCTTAGCAGCCGACTTGTCCCAGGCCCGCAGTCTGGCCCTCTAATGGTCTGAGGGACAGTGAACTGGCCCCCTGTTTAAAAACTTTGAGGACCTCTGGTCTAGTGTGTTTCAGAGCCAGAGTCTGAGCAGCTGGGGGCAGTTGGCCTGTGGCTCATCTCATGATGCTTTTTTTTTTTTT